TATAAAAACAGGACAGCTAATTTCTACCTTTTAAGCAAATTGATATGAGCAGACAAGGTCTGAGTTAGCCAAGTTGCTGTAACCAAGAATCCCCAAAATACAGTAACTTAAGTAAAATCAATGTTAATTTATATCTCCCATAATAGCCTCCAAGTGAGTGAAACAAAATTGATTGTGCTCCATGTGGTCACTTATGAATTCAGGTTCTTTCTCTTCTGTGGCTTTGGCTTTCTTAGGGTGTTGTTCCTGCCTGCATTGTTGAAACCAAGAACACGGCCCTGTCCACATTTCAGTCCAGGGGAAGGGTGAAGAAAGAACAGGTAAACACATACCCAGTGTTTTCTGGCTAAGACCCAAAACATTTTCTTTCATGTTCTATTGGCAATTCAGTAGACCACAACTAATTGCAATGGAGGCTGGCAAAAAAAGTCTCCAGGTAAGGGGCTAAGGCAAAGGAGGAGATTGGGAGCCACATGGTGGTAGTAGCCACCATTTTGACTATATCTACTAATTCTACTTTAAGCCAAGCCAGGTAATTGTAAAGTAATATATATTCTATAGATGTCTTCAACTGACTATAGGAAGGCTTTTATCTGAATGCCTTGCAAAATTGTCCCAAGCTTTTATTAGATATGGTTTTCCAACATTTTTTCATCTTTTGTAAAATGCTGTTGAAAGTACTATGCACATTTTAGAAACAGAATAATACTTTACACAAATACTAAAAGATACCAAATGCTAAACATATTTCAATTTGCTCTTATTGTAAGATTTTTGGGTAGTTATTATTATAATCTCTGTATTTCAGATTAGGAAACTGAAATTGAGTGAGGTTAAGTGGCTTGTTCTGGGTCATAGTGTTAAAAGATATTGAATTTGGCCCAGCATGGTGGCTGATGTCTGTAATCTCAGTGCTTTGGGAGACCAGGGCAGGAAAATCACTTGGAATCAGGAGTTCAAGACCAGCCTGAGCAACAGGTGTCTACAAAAAAAATGCCAGGTGTGGTGGTATGTGTCTGTAGTCCCAGTTACTCAGGAGGCTGAAACAGGAAGACTGCTGGAGCCCAAGAGGTCAAAGCTGCAGTAGGGAATGATAATGCCACTATACTCCAGCTTGGGTGACAGAGTGACACCCTATCTCTAAAACACACACACACACACACATCACACATTCTTATACATATACAATATGAACTGGGATTTAAGTTTCCCTGATTCTGAAGCCTACTTTTAAAATCATTTCTTCATATGCCTGCATACAGTTTTGTCATTTTAAAAATTTTGAAACCATAAGAATAGATAAGAACACCAACAGGAAAATTGGAGAGTAACTTGGAGAAAAATCTTTATTTAGAGGATGAGGAGAAGCAGCAGTTGGTGAGATAGGAGGTAATGATCCTCAGGGAGAGAGTGCGGTTTGTAAGGGACCATTCACAGTGTCTGCTGCCAGAGAACACAGTAGGATAGCACTGGGAACAGAGTATTGGGATGGGTTGTCAGGTGATAATTGATGACTTTAAGAGGACCCCATAAATAGAGTACAGGGGAAGAAGGCCCAATTACAACAGGTGCACAATTGGTCAGAAGGGAAGACCATGGAAAGGCAGCTCCTATCTGTTCGCTTTGATAACTGGAGGAGCGGAAAAGAGAACAGAGGAATGAGGCGAGGCAGCAATAGTGGGTGCTTTTTAGAAGAGATGAGATTGGAATAATTTACATGTATTCCCACTCGAACAAGATAATTCAGGCAAAGTCAGAAATTCATCTACCTATATCATCTGGTGGTCTCTGATGAAGAGATCAGACTGAGGCAGATGCTTCTACTGTGGTTTTAAACACACTCTCTTAATGGTGAAACCTTAATGCTTTATGAATCTTCCAGAGAGTTCACTGAGATATTATAATGCAGGAGTCAAGTCATTATCTTTGTATCCCAGTGCCCAAGACAAAGGAAGTGATAAATATTTGCATCAGGAAGAAAGGAAAGGAGGAAGGAATGGAGGAAGAAAGGTGAGAGAAAAAGAGAAAGAGAGAAGATAGAGAAAAAGAAGGAGGAAAGAGCAAAGACATGGAGGATTATATGATATAAGATATGAACATCTGAAGGTTGGGGTGAGCTCTAGACAGACTGTAAAGTGGACAACATTTGGGTGATTTTTCATTTCCTCCCTTTCAATACTTTCCTATCTTATTCCCTCTAGTATTTTCTAACTTCGTTCTGATCATTGCTCACCTTGTTAGTGAGTCAGCCTCAGAGGAGGCACCACCTCTCTGTTGCACTCCCTTCTGTGGGCATTTTCTTACTTTGCCTTTTATTTTAAAGTGAGCAGTCAAAATGCAAAGGATTTTATTAAATCATTCTTACTGAAGTGTTAATGACAATTAAGGCTATGGTGCATGAGCAATATAATAGCAAAACATTTGATGCCTGAGCCCTGGGTTTGAATTTGGGAGCTAATATTTACTAACTATAATTTGGTGTAAGTTACTAAATGCCAATTTCTCATTGTGCTTTTCTGAGGATTGTACACATAAATTAAAGTATTTTTCTATCTCTTCTTATGAAAATGTGATTTAAAAAATTATCAATATAATTTATCTTCATTGTATTTTATTTAGACCTAATCTTTTTATATATATAAGGCAGGGATAAGAAAATCTTATCTTTGTTGGTACCTAGAACATGGAAACTGGGTTAGATGGTGAGGGCACGACCTGTCTAAAAGAACAGCCAATACTCAGTGCCAGCTGATTTTCCCTACAGAAATGGAACCGTTCCACCTGAGCATTTGATTTCTTCCAGTGAATCCCCAAATCATCTTTAGGTAAATTCTTCTGATTGTAGAATATTGGCAAAATATTGTTTTTTTCAAATACTGTAGGCAAAACAGTGCATGGGAGGAAGGAAATACGGCCAATGTGCTGCCAGTTTGAAATAGATGTCCAAAAACATGAATTGCAGAAATGCAGGAATGTTTTTACCTCACATTACATCACATATGTGATGCAAATGGCCCTTCTGAAGTGTTCAAAAGCTTATCCCTGCCAACTGTGATTGGTAAAACTTTAACAGAAATATTTTCCTGTCAAAATGATGTGAATATGTGGAGGATATAGTAAAGAAAAAACCATGCCTTAAACATACAATTTTTAATAAGCAAATATCTTAAAATGTAGATATGATTTTCCAGTATAAGATATTTTCCATGGCAGTTTTGTGCCTTTGAGCATATTAGACTACATTCCAGTTTTTCCCCTATCAAGCAAGAAAACAATCTAAAATAAAAATTGTGAAAAATAGGTGGCCTTTCACAGAGGACTGACTAGCTAATTTACTTAAGATAGCAGGTTGCACAAAGGAAGAAAATGATAATGCAACAAGCTTTCGCAAAGCTGACCCTCTTCTGAGAGTTAACCTTTGTGCTCATAAACAGTTATCTGAAAAATTTCTAAGGTATGAATGGAAATAACAGCAGATTGTATTACCTACATCCCGAAGGTCAGGGGTTCAGATTACCAAGGTAATGAAACTTCAGTGAGCTGCTTCACTTCTATTAGGTTTGTCAGTTTTTATAAGCACACTTACTTCAGGAATGCAATTATAACATAAAGCACCTATATTGGGGAAAATTCAGCAGTCGGATCTTAACAAAAGTATTCAAATGTCAGCTGAGGGGGGAGAGCCTACCTTTATGAGTAGGCTTTTAAGATAAATCAGTTGGTAAGATGGAGTAAAGAGATAGGGAGATGAATAGAAATATATTATATGTAAAAATACATCCACAGAAAAAAACTTTGTATTATTCCCAGAGGTGTTTCAGAGGGTAGCCATAAGTATTAATTAGCTTACATTATCCCATTAAAATGGTTTATGAGATCCCAATACAGGTGTCATAGATCACTAGAAATCTGCAACCTTATAAAAACCATAGAGTGATAATTTTTTTGTAAAAAAAACATAACCAGTACTGATTTAGTTTAAAACTAATGTCCCCTTATGCTGGTTTTAATTCACAAGTGCTATCACATAACATTGGAACAAATTTACTCAGGTGTCCTCAATGAAGCATGTTTTCTTCTCAGGCTATAACAAAACTCAAGCCTGGATCAAAATCAAATGGTTACTATTGCCAACTCATGGTAAATGTACATTTAAAAAAATAATAGTAGATGATTACTCTAGTGAACAGAATTTTTCTTCATAACAAAATATTTTAATTTGGTCTTTCCAAATCATATATGCCTCAATATTTGGTAATATTCTAACAAGATTTGATTAGATTATTTTCCAGATCTCAAGTTATACCTATAAGAATGATGACAATACATAGTATCATGGCTGATTAACGGTTGTTTTTTCTGATGCTTATAATGGAACATCACAAGTTGACAGATCAGTTATCTATGCTACTCTGCTGACCAAATAGCCCTAAAATTTCACTTATTGTGGTTTCTAAAGTTGCAGGAATAGACTAGATTTATCTGTGAGCCCTTTCAAATGCCTGTAAAGTGTTCTGAGCAGGGATAGGGTCAGGCCCCACATTATTTAAGCAAATCCAGTGGTAAGGTTCAAGCTTCCTTTTGTTGTATTAAGTTGGAATTCTGTCCACAACCAGCACTGAAGATGATTCATTCAGAAAAAATCTATCACATTATTGCAATCCAATTAAATGGCTCTTGCTAATGAGAGATGAGTTACAAGATATTAGGGGCAGAACTCTCTGAAGGAAGGTGTGCGATAGGCTGCATCAAATTAAACCCGGACATTTCTATCACGGTGTGCGGGTGTGACAGAAACTGCTTTCTCCGTCCAAAGAGAATGAAAGAAGGGAGGGCAGGAGGTTCAGGAAGGGTGTAGACATAGTAGAGAAAGTTTGCCTCTTAAATGGAATAGCAGAAGAACTTCTCCTTTTTAGTTTTTATTTTTAATATGTCCATTTAAAAATGTATTTGTATACTAATGCAAAAAGGAGAAATAAAAATTTAAGAATCCTACTTACTTGGTTTAGCCCAACTCACGTCTATGGCCGTGTGGTTAAGAACTCTCACAGTGAGATTGGCTCCTCTCTCTGGAAGACCAGCTAATGTCGTCACAGTTGCTTCTTGGCTTGGCGTAAAACCCACGCTGTTGTGTACAAAGAGCTTATACTCATAAGTTGTAAATCTAAAAAGTTTTTTTTTGTAAAAAAAAAAAAAAACGGTATATAAATTTTTACTTTACATAAAATATAATTAATAGTTTCCATTTTCTTCACAAAATACAGGATTTTCATCTATCCCAACTCCACAAAATGCTGTTTTATTTTCTGCCCCAGGAAATGCATTATTTTCTTTTTCCTTCTAGAAAACACATTATTTTGTTCCTCTTCTTGCATAAAACATATCATTATCTGTAACTTGCTAGCCTTACCAAAGCGCCAGGAAAATATTTTATTAGGAATAGTGTGCAAATATTGCTATTTAAAACAAATGTGTTTTATCATTTTCTTATTCTTATTGTTTTCAGAAGTGGTGAGGATTACAGCTCAATTCGAGACGCAATTACAAATCTGGCAGCCCGCCAGCTTTCTATCTGAATTTGATCCAGAGAGTTTTATGCTCTTCTTTTCGGAAACTCATCCATTTTCAAATATCAGAATCCCTCATCGCCATTTTCTTCCTATACCTTTGCAGCTTTCCCATAATCTCATTGCAGACAGATAAACCCCTAAATTAAATTGTAACTGTGACCAAAGTGTACAACATTTCTCCCGCTGAGAAATCTGCTACAGTGAGCTGTATTTTGCTATAGTGTGAACATATTTACTTGAGTTGATACTGTGGAAACTGAATATTACTTTACAGAAGGCAAAAAAAACTGAAATGGGGGTGTGATATGAGGAGGACTTTCCAAGGCATATATTAAATGAGGAGAGAGTAAAGCCACCAATTCTTCATCCCTTTTGGTTGTTTTGGGCAAAAGACCACTAGCCTTTTTTGTTTGGTTCAAAACTGCCTGGTTAGGGAGGGAAGTGCTACTTATAGACACATTGAGAATACGCCTGGACAATAGCTTAGCCCAAGATACTTGCTTAAAAATGTTGTGCAATGCAGGACCATCCCCAGGGCATCTAGAACTCAGGGCAAGCATTGGTCTCAGATCATTACCTACTTTGAATTTCTTAGGTGATTAAGGTTACTTCACCTCCAGTGCAGGACCCACAATATTTGTCTCAATATATCACAACTTCTGCTAGTCATGATGCAGCAGGAGGGTGCCATTTGAAGGATTGTGCTAAATAATCTGACCAAAATAACGTCAGGATTCTCAGAACATTTTGCTACCATCTAGGTAGAAGAAGTCCGTCTGACTTGCCCTGTTTTTCATTCATGGCCCAAAGATATTTTTGCAGGATTCTGCCTCAGTCACATTTAAGGATGTTGCACAGATAGAGACGTTGCGACTTGTTGAATATTTATCTATTTGTCCTAAATAAGTGCTAACATCAGATCTTCGACCCCTCTCAGTCTTACCATTTCCCTATCAGGTGATTATTGTCTTTTATTTTTTTCTGCTTTATCTGCCGTAGTTAGTTGAGTTATATCCCTCAAAAAAATATTTTCAATTCCTAACTTCTGGTAATTGTGAATGCGACCTTATTTTAAAACAGGGTCTTTGCAGATGTAGTCAAGTTAAGATGAGGTCATATTAGAGAGGGTTCTAAATACAATGTTAATGCTTTGATTAGAGAAAAGAGAGAAGAATTTTGATGGTGACATAGACATATACAAGGAAATGATGACCATGTAAAGACAGAGGCAGAAAGTGGAGTTATGCATAAGCAAGCCCTAAATATTGGGGAGGCAAGCACAAAGATGGGAATAACTGATGTTGGACACTGCTGATGGGAGAGAAAGAGAGGGATACACACAACCACTCTTCGGGTACCAGATCCACTACTGGGAGAGAGAGGACTTACTAGAATCCCAAATCATAACTACATGCAATTTACTTAAATGGCAAATTCTCACATGTACCCCAAAACTCTAAAATAAAATAAGATAAAATAAAATAAATTGGAGCTATGCTACCATAAGCCAAGGAACACTGAGGTCACCAGACATAAGAAGAGGCAAGGAAGGAGTCTTATCTAGAAGAAGGAAAGAGTCTGACCCAGATGACAACTTGATTTGGGAGTCTAACCTCCAAACCTGTAAGAGAATACATTTCTGTTTTAAGCTACCCGGTGTGTGGTATTTTATTAGAGCAGACCTGGGAAACTAAGACATATGCTGTTTAGAAAGTGCTAAATAGACTACATGATCAAGACAACAAAAAGATGGTAACAATAGTTACTTAATATGTGTCAGGCATTTCCTACATGTATTAACCCATTTATTCCTCACAAGAATTCTTTAAGGCAGTAGTCCTTAACCTTCATGGCATCAGGAACCAATTTTGTGGAAAATAATTTTGTTATGGACTTGGTGGGGGGGGTGATTCAAGCACATTACATTTTTTGGTGCACTTTCTATTATTATTGTACTGTAATATGTAATGAAATAATTATACAACTCATCATAATGAAGACTCAGTGGAAGCCCTAAGTTTGTTTTCCTGCAACTATATGGTCCCAACTGTGGGTGATGTGAGACAATGACACCCAAGGTGTGTTGCTTATGTCCAGTCTACTCCATAATCTCATTTTGGTTGCTCTCACTGCAGGAAACACTGCTTCTCATAGATAGAATGTTGGAAATGGAAGCAAGCTTTTCAGTGCTTTTGTGGCAATCTCAGGATATTTCACCGTGACTTTAATCCAGAATGTATGGGAATTTGAAGTTGTCTCAAACTTACTTTTAAGGCCACTGTCATGTGCAATCATAAGCGGTTGATCCTCTTCTGTTATAGACAAAGTCGATTTACTTGGCTTATTCATAAATGGGTCACAAATCCATTCCTTCCCGGTTTGAGGGTCTTTTGTGGTTGAGAAGTAATGCTCAAACTCTTTGGAAAGCTGAGATAGGTGATCATGCATCAGCTAGGTGAAAGAAGGCCCTGGCTCAGTCTCTTTCAAAATCTCTGCTTATGTTTGAAACATGTTAAAAATTCCAGTGTTCACTCATCACTCCCATAATTCCAGTCTGGCTTTGAATATAGCCACTTTATGTGCCAACTTGAACACAGTTGTCATTCTCCCCTGAAGTGACAGATTGTGTTCATTGATTAGGTTGAATATGTCACACAAGAAAGCAAGTTTTTCAGTCCATTCTGTGTCACCGAAATGTGCTGCCAGTGGTGACTGTTTTTCTAAAAGAAATCTATGAAGCAGCCCTTGTAACTCAGAAACTCTACCTTTAGAAAGCCATCTCACTTCTGTGTATAAGAGAAGTGTGTGTTCTGCATTCGTCTCCTCACTGAGTTTTGTGAAAAGACATGAGTTAGGGGCCTGTACTTTAATGTGGTTGATAATTTTAATCAAATCCTACAAATTGTTATTAAGTTTAGGTGACATTTTTTGGTTGGCCAGCATTTCTCTATGGGATGACACAAGTGCATAGACTCACATTCAGAAGCTATCTCTTTGACTTGAGTAATGAAACCAGAAAGCTGTCCAGTCATGGCAGACAATCTATACATGTATCAACAAAAAATGACTGATTCAGTTTTCCTGATATGTAATCATTCAAAGACTTGAATAGTTCTACAGCTGTGTCATTGGTTGGCAACAAAAGTGCAAATAACATATCCCTGCGCATATCCTTCTGAAAAGTAATCACACAAAAAACAAGCATTGTTGCCTTGTTGTCAACGTTGGTAGACTTGTCAACCTGGATTGTGTACCATGACTCATTAATCCCTTCTAACAACTGTGTCTCAATATCCTCTGCTATTTAACAAATTCGTCTAGGTATGGTGCTAGCTGAAAGAAAAACATGTGACACCTTTTGAACTGCATGTTCTCCTAAAAGTTCACAACAAATGTTCAACTACAGTAAAGGCATTCTCAGTTTTAGCAATGCTGTTAGCCATTAAGAATGATGCTCTCAGTGCAGACACATTTGATGAAGTCATGCTTTTCATTAATTGCTTGTGTTCATGATCACTTTTTCCCCCTTTTCTTTTGAAAAACTCCAAAGGCTTGTCTTTTAACATAAGGTGCTTGGTCTTCATGTGGCAAAACAATTTTGAAGCTTCCTTGGCTTGGTTGGATAACTGGTCGCTACATAATATACAAAACAGGGTTGGAGAATGTGAATCGCCTGTTGCAATGAACTTGTAATTTAAGTAGGACTCTTGATATTTTCTCTGAAATGCCATTTTCTTTTTGTTGGCACTCTTAGACTCTTCTGCTGTCTCATCATTGGGTCTTCCCCCTTTTTCAGTGAAGCTCTCCAGTGACACTTTTTACTCATTTTGGCTAGGGTTAGCTTGTGGGCTTCCCAAAACTGTGACTGAGACAAGTGTGCACAGCAGGAAAGAGGTGTGGATGGACGTGTTAATAAAATAATGGGCTAACCACTTGTGGACTGAATTAAGTGTCAGATTCTGACTTAAATCCTGCCACCAGATGCAGCTGTACTATTGAAGTACATCAACTGGTAGGTTTTGATATGAGTCTGCAAATAATTGATTTATCATGGTCTCTGTGCAGTGAAATCTCACTGCTAGTGTTAATTTGGATTTTCATCCACTCCCCAGTGTTAGCATCACTGCTTCAGTCACCTCAGATCATCAGGCATGAGATTCCCATAAGATCATGAAACCTAGAATCCTTGTATGCTCAGTTCACAACAGGGTTCATACTCCTTTGAGAACCTAACACCACAGCTGACCGGACAGAGGAGGGAGCTCAGGTGGTAATGCAAGCATTGGAGAGTGGCTGTAAATGCAGATGAAGCTTCTCTTGCTCATCTACCACTCACCTCCTGCTATGTGGCCTGGTCTGTGGCCTGGGGGTTGGAGACCCCTGCTATAAGTTGATATTATAATACCTATTTTTAAAAATGAAGAAAAAAGTCTCAAAGAGATAAATAATCTGTCCAAGTCATTGAGCTAACAACTAGGAAGTTGGGATTCAACTATAGATGGTCTGATTCCAGAGCCAGCTCCTTTAACCATGATGTTATACTGCCAAAATAATAGTGATAATAATAATAATAGCAATAACAATAGTAATAATA